CGTGCGTGCGTGCGTGCGTGCGTACGTGCGTTTGTGTACGAACGTGCGTGTGTGTGCATGTATGTGTGCGTGCGTCTGTGTGTGTTTGTGTGTGTATATGAGTGTGCGTGTGTGTGTATATGAGTGTGCGTGTGTGTGTGTGTGTGTGTGCTAGAGGTCTTATTATTTTTTGCGTGATATGAAGGGACAGAGCACAGAGGGGAACTGGTCTCTTTTTGTTCATATCGTGTATATTTAAGGACTTTACATGTAACATTTGTTATTTCTACTAATACACGTATCATGTTTGTTCAAGTTTCGTGTATAAAAGATATTCCTAACTTTTGCTTCTTTTTAATGTACTAACCCTTTTGGTTTTCTTCATTACTGTTCTCATATCAACTTCTAACTTAATACGTCTACTAACTTTGAAGATGGCGTCAAATTTTGAGTAGGAACGGGCATGGGAATAGAACAAAAAAGTTTAAAAACCTTTTTTTTTCCAAGTGGTTAACCATTATTTTTGTCTCCCAAAGTCCAACCCCTTGGTCCTCGTCCGGGGAGATGGAAACAGAACAGTCAGAGGGTTTTGGGGTCCGGGTGAGGTACGGTGTAAATGTTACGTCATGTCACGTGAGCGTTATGCTAGCCGTGAAGACCGACGACCTTGGTGACCTTGTGACGTGTTGCTGGCTGATGGGGCTCTGGTGAAGCGGTGGCAGGTAGGAGAAATCTTTCCACAGTGGATGGACGACATTTGTTACGATTTACGATTTCTACAAAGAAGAATGAAAAAACGACAAAAACATTTAAAGGTTGCTGTTATTGTCAGGTAGGCGTGAGTAAACCCATATGGCACTTTCTTCTACATCTTTCTTTCTGTTGGTGGTGCAGGTGGTTGGAGGAAGGCAAGGCGCCACTGGTAGGTCCTGCTTCTTTTCTTTCCCTCTGTTGTTTCTGTCCGTCTCTCTGTGTCTTACTTTTCCGCAGCATTATACGACCTATAGTTTCGATAATGGGCTTCTCTTTACTCAAACAAACAAACAAACAAACAAACAAATCAACAAACAAACACATCTGTTGGTTATTTGCTTTGTTCTGTAGAATCTTCTATTTAATTGTGATGGGTTTTTCATAAAAATATTTCTGTCTGTTTTTTTGTTTGTTGTTGTTGTTTGTTTTTTTAAATTTGTTTTTAAAAACATCCAGACATAATACACAAATACAAAAATAACGACAAGATTATTGTACCTTTTCGAACTTTACGGCCTCACAATCCCTGAAAACCTTGTGAAAATATAATTAAAGATACAGAATAAGTGAACAATTTTTTTTCTCTACGTCCCTCAGTGGGACCCCGCCAGGGCGAAAATAAACTTATACCTCACCACATAGAATGCTTCATGCACTAGTAGTATGAAAAACACACAAAACGCATACAAAAACAAACAAACAAAGACACCAAACAATATTCGGGCGCTGAGAAAATCTGCTGCAGTGGCTCTAACTCTAAATCGGACTCTACTGTAGGCACTGTGGTCACAGACCAAAAGACAACACTCATCGAGCAGGTCGTTCCTTTGGGAAAGAATCCATGTCCCCTCCTGTTGACATAAATCAACGAAGAACGCCGTCGTACAGGCAGACTTTAAGAATAAAATAAAAAAAGCTACACCTCCAGTTTGTGGGAGGAATACTGGAGCGAACGAATAGTAACAGCAAAACTTCCTAATATCATGTCCAAGTTTGGCCCACGAGAACCTTTGGGTCTCTCCAGAAGAGGCAAATTTCTTTTGCCCAGACTCCGTACCTCCTTGACGCATAGATCTAGATACCCTCTGCAGGGAGAAGAAAAAGCGTTTTGTGACGCATGTGATGCCGACTTTACGATCAGGCACCTATCCTGATAGAATAGAATGTTCTGACTTTGGGGCGATCCGAAGAATATAATTTTTAATTCATTCTCCAATTTAACCCTTCCCCATGTCATGTCTTATTCCAATTTACTGAGTGGTTTCTACACGTACGCTCTGTTGAGAAATATCGACATAGACTCAACAAACCTTGTGGCCAAATTTGGTTACTCATGCGAACTCTAAATGAGCAGAACTTTGTAGTACAATGTACTATAAATTAAATTTATGTGTGTGGATTGTGGGCTGCATTTAAATATATTAACGAGCTTCATCTTTTTACACCAAAATGCAATTGCCTGTAAATCGTAAGTAGAAAACTTAGAACTAAGTCACGCAAGTGATTTCTGACTAGGATGAACGTATGGCAGCCATCCGAGAAGACTTGTGACTTGGCTTCATATTTTCATCTGATACTGATTCTAATGTCTCTTCAAAACGAACTCGCTATGAGCAAATACAAATAACCACTGTGTGATTTATGAATTATTTTACAAGAGGCTCAAACTCCACCCAGAAACATCCTTTGGATTATCAAGTGGTACTTTCATTTAGTTTATCTATGACGACATCATCAAAATTGTAATTGAACGCACAGATAAAAAGTGTGAGTGTGAGAAAACTCAAAGCCAAAATGGAGACCCACTCTCAAAGGTGCAATTGCAGTAAGAAAAGTAGTCCTCATCAAACAAAACTTCCATTCGCATGCGTTTCATCGCCAGTAGTGCCAGTAAAATATCACTGTAATGAACACTGTAGGTGGAGCTTATTCATCACGTGCCCAGTTTGCCTGAAAATACATGTAATAGCCTACATGAAATGGCATCAACATTTTCTGGTGTTTTCAAAATCAAAGAGAGCATCAACAGAAGACACATCTAAAGTGTTGAAGAACGTGACAAGAAGCCATCTCTTTTGTTCTGCGTTTGGCTCTGAGCGTGTGGGCCACTTGTTCCGTGGCACTGGCAAGCCCTTTTATATATAGTAACACGTCATTCATTATGACCATTATGTTGTAGCAGAAGTTGAAAATGCCCTAAATCTCTTACTAAAACTCAATTAAAAAACCCAGACCAAGCTCGAAGCGAGGCGTGCAGCTCGGCTTGCTGCATCCCATTGGTTCCTGCATGACTGCTGCCTGTGCGGAGTTACATTTTAAAACAAACAACAAACAAAATACATTGTATTGTAAATAAAAACACCAATAACCCCAGGCCAGTCCCGAGGCGAAGCGCGCTGCCTTGCTAACATCCACTCGTTCGTTCATGCGTAGGGTCCGTTATACTTGACTACCGGTACTAGTCTAAGTGTCCAGACTGCCTGGACAACCTCGTCATAGCTGTCCCAGTGTTGACGCAATGGCTAGAGTCGGCGGTTTGTTCCCGCCGGCGTCGCCCGCAGAAGACCGTGATGAAAACAGCCCGGAACTTCTTCCCCGCGGCGCAGTAGATGGCGAAGTTGATGGCCGAGTTCACCATGACAATTGTGTCAGCCACTGCGCTGAATCTGATGGGAGCAAAGACAATGGCTACAACACCTTTTAACGATAGCAGCAGCAGCAGCAGCAGCAACAATCGCAACAGCTAAACGACAACAACAATGACAACAATGCCTTAACTACATGTAGGCCTACTACAACAGTAGCAGCTGCAGCAGCAATAACAACAATGTCAACAACAGCAACAACAAGAACAACAACAGCATAAAAGGTCGCTTTCTAGTCCCATCACAATCGCCACCCACAACAATAACAGCTCAGCTTTAACATCAGAAAAAACTGCAACAGCAATACAATTACCGGGTACACTAACATCAATAGCAACTGAAGAAAATGTCGTTAAACAACAAACAACTCTTAATACTTTCCACCATCACCAACAGCAACAGAAACAACCCCCCCCCCCCATTAAAATCAACAGCAGTTTTACCTTGAACCCCCAACACTCCCCGCCATAGCTTGGTGCACTGACCTGTTGCATTCCTGTGAGCACTCGACGAACGTGTTGAGTCCGCTGGTCAGTATGAGAGAGACAGCTGGGAAAAGCTCACACAAAAAGAAAATGACTGTCATACACACTACCATGCCAGTGAGCCGCTGTTCTCTGCGAGCCCGCCTCTGAAAATATGGGAAAGATTTGTGTGACTGTCAATGTCAGTGGTGTAAGTGTACTGAGTTTTCTTTAATGAAAAACCCAGGGTTTAAGCCTGTCAGTACATAGGGTAAAGAGGTTTCCCTTTTCATAAACCCAGGGTATAAGCCTGTCAGTACATTAAGTAGAGGGTTTCCATTTTCATAACTTAACAGGGTTGGAACCTATCAGCACAAAGAGTAAAGAGGTTTCCCTCATCATAACTGGGTTTGAGCCTGTCACTACTGTCAGTACATTAAGTACATACATAGTATAGAGAAAAGAGGTTTCCCTCATCATGAGTCCAGAGTCTGGACCTCCCTGTCCGGGGATTGTTTCTCCTTGACCAAAGGCTTGGCCCTGTCAGGAAGTTTCCCATTTATTAACCCCCAGTTTGTTCTCGTCATCGGGAGAATTCCCATAAACCCAGTCTTTGGTACCGTCTGGTTTCCTATAAAATCTGTGTATGGTCCCGTCTGGTTTCCTATAAACTCAGTGTTTAGTAGTCCCGTCTGGTTTCCTATAAACTCTGCCTGGAAGTTTCCCATTATACATCACGTGCCTGTACATGACATGTATTCATAGGTACCCATGGTTTGGCCCCGTACCCATGGTTTGACCCTGTCGAGAAGTTTTCTACACCAAAAAACATGGTTTGGCTCAGGAGGTTGCCCATAAACTTAAAATGGCCCTGCAAGGACGGTTCCCATTTAATGGACACATGGCTTGGCTCCGTCAGGAAGTTGCCAATACTGTGGTAAAACCACATGGTTTGGCCACATCAGGAAGCTTCCCATGTCATAAACCCTTGGTTTGGCCCTATCAGACTATCAGGAAGTTTCTCTTAAACTCAGGGTTTGGCGTGTCAAGACGTTTCCCAAATTATAGTTATAGTGAACTCAGGTTTTTGCACTGTCAGAGTCAGAAAGTTTCCCATTCATGAACCCAGGGTTTGGTCCCGTTAGGAAGGTCCCCATTCTTATCCCCGTAGTAGTTTGGCACCATGAGGAGTCTTCCCATAAACTCAGGGTATAACCCTGTCACTAGTGTCAGAACGGTTCCCATATATGGATATACTGTACCCATGGTTTAGCCCCATCTGTAGGTTTCCCTAACTCTTAAACCATTTATCCAAGGTTTGGCCTTTTTAGTTTTAATTTTAGTACATTTGTACCATTTCGCCCCACCCATGGGATTATATTGTCAAGAGGTTTCTCACAAACCCAAGTGTTTTCCCCAGCAGGGAGTCTACGATAAACCCAAAAATTAGCCTAATTAGGTTTCTCGTAAACTATGACTATCTTAATCTATGAGAAGCCCGAGGTTTTGACCTGTCCGGAAGTTCTCCACTGTATTTGTATCATACACATTTATGGTTAGGCCATGACCTATCAGGAAGCTATATATTTCATAAACTGATAAACCCAAGTTTTGAATATATTGATCCCATCAGGAGGCTTCCGAGATCCCCCCTCCACAATCATAATAAAACCAAGATTTGGCCCTATTAATATTATTAAGAGATTTCTCATAAACTCACAATGTGGTCATATCAAGAAAATTCTCATAAAATGATAAACCCAAGGATTCTCCCTATCAAGAGGTCTGTCATACATCGGAGGTTTGGCCACGTCAGTGTCGGAGGCGAGTTCGGGGTATTCAGCACCCCACGAGTAATCAAAAAGTGTCTACACAGATATCTTTATAGATTACTTTAGATGATGAGTAAACACAAAAAGCAAGACCAGCACAGATACGTGCACATCAGTACACACGTAGTTAGATACTGTATATAATTATATCTATACATGAATGCGAATAGTGTAATAGTAGTCGACTCTGGATGAGTTGATGTGGCAGCGGGAGTGAAAACAAGATCAACTCATCCGAAGTCCAACTTAACCGCTGGGACCTACTGTAAAGAAACAGAGGTGCAGGGACCCAAGAAAATTGGAAGCGAAGATCAACTCAAGAGAGTGCATCAAATAAAGAGGAGTTAACAGTAACTTTGAGTAACTGTGCACACATTTTCTGGCAGTCAGTGAGTCACCTGTCGGTCTGTTTCATTGAGTCCTGTCCTGACTCCCGGGTGATGCCACAGCTCCCACAACATGAGAGAGTTAAACGTGAGCAGGATCAGAAAGGGCAACAGAAAGTGCAGGGCCAGGTTGATGTACGTCACGTACACGTCATTGAACCAAGAACTCTTGCCCACGGAAGTCCTGTGGGAGTTTGAAGAAAAAAAAAAGAAAAACGAGGGAGGGCGAGTGTGAGGTCATAGAACTCGGTCAGACGGAAAGTGCAAATGATGTTAAAAAAAAAAGCTAAGCTATACTAAAACTAAAGACAATACATGTATTGATATGTATAACTATAAGATATTATAGTCGGGCACGGATAATTCAAACTTGTTGGGGATTGACAAATGTGTCACTGTCACAGTCACAGCATGATGGAATCTGTGTTCGTCAAATTCGATCGGGGCATATGAAGTTATTAGTTTCTTCTAAACCTTTGTTCAATTGCCTAGCTTTTGATGAAGAAAAATATCAATATTTCTTGAATAGAAATCGATAACTGATGTATTTACTATAGAAGGAGGTGGGCGTCGTCTGGTGTAAGAAGTAAGATATATACATGTATTATGTAAGCGAGAAAATGGCTGCCAAAGTTAGTTAGAAGACTTCCATTTCCAAAGCTTCAGAGTCAGTGGAAAGGGCAAGTTTACACTTTTTATACCTTTGTGCTCTGCGTTAAATGTTTATCTCTAAAATTCTCAGATAAATGTGTTTTTAAATGAATGCAATAATATAAAAGGTGCTGAGCAACCCCCTAAAAAAACAAAACAAAATATCTACAAAAACTAGTCTATGCAATAGGCAGAAAAATGTCGGTTTCTTCGGTTTCAACTTCATTAACGATCGAGTGTCTGATATTTAACAAAGAGTGTTATAAAATGTGTTTGAGCTTGGCACATTCATAATTCGGATCAGCCAATAATCAATAACGAAACTTTAAAGCTTGATCTGTACTCAGTTGGGTAATGGCGATTTGTATGAGCTGTCCTTGATTTTGAGTTTCCATATTCTGTCACCTGTACCGGTACATGTAGGGCCTACTTGAAAGACTAAAAGTGGCATATATGAAGAATGCCCTCACAATTTACCTGTGACCCCCGACCTCCCTCCGTGGCATCTCACCAATGCAAAAGTAGACTTACAACTGACCACCCTTCAGGGAGATGAGAACCCGTTCTGTGTCGGATGTGACACGATTTTACCATTAGACACATCTTAACAGAATGTCTAGACTTTGGAGAGATCCGAAGGAAAAATTATAAATGCAAGAAATTACAAGATATTTTTCCCGTCGTTGGTCCAAGCAAAATTTTGAATTTTATGAAGGCCATTGGCCTTTATGGCAAGTTGTAAAATGAAAACGTAGGCTACTTTTTACATTTTTTAATTGTTACTTAAAAGAGTTGTTTTAAATCACACATATATTTACACTGAATTTAAATATTTTAACTTTTTAGCATTTTAAAGTCAATTAGTTAACCAGTCGTGGAGTGAACTTTTGCGAAGGTGAACAACTTGTGTTTCGCGCGCTCATATGACCTTAGCAGTTGCGAGCGCCGTAAAACCCTATAGGGGCCTACTACATACAATACATACCTGTGATCAGAAATAAGAGCCAGTGTGCATCGTTGGAACTATACTATAAAGGTAAATACACTTGGATGAACGGAACGTTCACCCCCGTACGTGTACTTGGCTAACGGCACTACTGTTCTTCTGGGTACAACAAGGGCGACTGGCAAAAATACAGGGTCATCAAATTCAAAGTCAAAGCAAAGAAGTAGAACCTGCGTGTGGCACTTGCCAAACTTTGACAGGACTACTAAGTCTGTGCCAACATTAACACTACCGGTATGCATAGTTGAGACAACTTATGTTTTATTGATGAAGTGCCATCGTCACCCCGATTTACCCGATACTAACGTTGTCTCACGTTCTCATAGTCTGATACTCATACGACAATATCATAATATCATGCATTTTTGCAAGCGCCGTAAAAGGTTCACAAAGAACGCCACGGAAAAAGACTTTACCTGTACATAATGTACCTCCACTTGTCGCTCTCTTCATCCCACACGTCACCACAAGAGTAGGCCATGTACAGAGGTATGTGGTAGCACAAGGCGAAAACCACCACTCCTACGACACATCCAATCGCTACTCGCTTCCTGAAACGATAAAACAGGATGAAAACAAACCGCGATACTTACCTCCTACGCCCCTTCCCCCATCCTTTTCCATTTTGAATTGCTTTTGACCAAGTTTAGCGACATAGTGCTCAGCATCCGCGCTGTGATCATACTCACACCCTCAGTAGAGTAGCATGTCTCAACAACGACAACGACGACAACAACAACAACAACTACAAAACTACAAGAGCAACAACAAAATGAGGGAAGCAACAGCCAGACTAATGACAGTCAAAGTCAAAGGTGAACAGCCTAGCCGCCGTGTCAACCAAACTAAAAGCCAAACTCTGTCATGTACCATAAATTGTCCATCGCAAGAAAATCAGTACAACGCCCGTTAATTAACTGAAGGGCACTGGATTTTATCTTACCAATCAGTGACAGTTCCATTCCCTGTGTCCACCAAAACGACCCGACTCCTGCCAACAAAGGTCGAATCCGTTGCCGATGGTCCATTCGGCATTTTTAATTTAGTCATCGACCAAACTCAGACAGAGGTTTAAAAAAAAATTATATAGATTTAACTGCCAACTTAACATTTCAAAATTATAGGCCTACCTGCATGGTGTATTCGTTAATTTCGTAAGCAGCATCTCAAAATAAGTTTATATCTACGCGAAAGTCACTGGTTGAAATTAATTAATGTCAATCATCAGCAATTATTTTTTAATCGTTTATGCTCTGCCTAGCGTTCTTTGCGTCTCTGGCCTGCAACAAACACTAACAACAGACGGAATGTTGCCTCCTCCCGACACAATCGGGTTGTTTCTATTTCTACTTTGTGGACACGCGGCTTCAGGACTTCAGGGATCTCAAAAATCCCCGAGAGAGGCCAGCCCGACCTCACAATCATTGAACAAAGGTCCACTCTTTCCTAAATTAAAACTGCAGGGCACCCTGCTCGGACAACATCCCTCCGTCCAACCTTCGTGAGATTGAGACAACTGGGTTGAAAAAAAAATCAACCTACAGAAGCTCATCTTCAACAGGAAATTCTGCTCAGCAGATGGCCGCAGTAACTGACTCGATCGGGGAGGTCAAAGGGAGGAGACTGGATTACTTCACCACACGTTACCCCCAAAGGAAGATGATACATCATCATAATACATGTGTTACAAACGGAGTGGCTAGTCGCCCGATCTCGGTCGAGTAGCCTGACGCTACTGGCCCGTGGGGATTTCTGCGCATGTTCCAGGCGAACGGATTCGATAGATTAGTATTAATCCGTAATCCCACCTAGCCTGCAGCTTTTGGGCCGTAGGGATTTCTGCTCATTTTCCGTGTTCTGGCCCTTCGGTATTTTTCTGTCTCTGTCTCTCTTTCTCCCTATATCTCTCTCTGTCACTGTCTGTCTGTCTGTCTGTCTGTCTGTCTGTCTGTCTGTCTGTCTCTCTCTCTCTCTCTCTCTCTCTCCCCCTCTCTCTCTCTCTCTCTCTGTGTGTGTGTGTGTGTGTGTGTGTGTGTGTGTGTGTGTGTGTGTGTGTGTGTGTATGTGTGTGTGTCTCATGGAAGAAAGATGGTCAAGTTGAGTGTTGTTGTGCGTCATGTGCAGTGTGTACCTCTGGCAGTCAGTTCGCTGTCGGTATGGGGCGGCAAATTTACTTTTATAGAACTAGGACCGTACAACTCGGACAGTTGGCGGGGTGATGTGAAGGCGTGAATATTTGTAGGCCTACTATGTTTAATGAATTTATATATATTGTCGGATACATTAACCCGATTCCCTTTCGATAGTTGGAGGGCAAACAAGTACAAAAAAAGAGTGCCCCGAGGTCAGTTAAGCACTCCTTTTCGTCCAATACTGACGAAGAACCCACATTCAACTTAGTTGACCCCCCCCCCCTCCTCACAACAAAGTGAAAAAAAAACCGACCACCGTTTGTTTTTTAAAAGAAAAATTAAACAAATTTATATAAACGGCCTCCTACATTCAGAAGGGGTGAACTAGAACTATGAAATTGATGCCAAACTTTTTGATACACCTTCCTTGGGCGAGGTGGACCATGCAGTATGCTACACTGTCCCCGTAGAATTATGCAAATTCAGATGGCCAAATTATGCAAAAAAAGCCAAATTATGCAAAAATTATGCAAGTTACAGTAACACCATTCGCGACATGTTTTACACTTTTTCAACACAAATTTTCATGATTTTCATGTTTTATGTACCGAAAAATTTAAAACAGAACATATCAGTATCAGTAATTTGTTGTGTATTTGGAAAGAAAGCAATACACATCAGTAAAAAGAAAACAACCAAAAAATATAACCTCTGTAACTTTCAGTTGTAGATCTAGATCTAGATCTATAGGGGAAATAAAATGTAAAAAAAAAAAAAAAAAAAAAAAAGGACATCTGGACCTCTGATGCTGGCACATTACTAAAACCAGGGACACCTGTCAAACATGAAACATTAGCAGACATGAGAACAACAACTTTTGATGCATTGAAAAATTGAACATGCACATCGACAAGGAACCAAGATCTTCTAACAAGGGAAATAACCAACTTTTCACTTAAATGAGACTTATTACGGTGAATATTTCCCTTTACTAAAGTTTAGTCGGCAAGGCGTTAATTGTTTTGTGAAAAAAAGAGGGAAAAAAACGTTAAAAAACGCGTGGAACCCAAAATTATGCAAATGTTGCAGAATTACGCACGCCGCGGCCGCACAATCGCATAATCCTACGGGGACAGGCTACAGAGGGTGCGGCATTTAACGAGGTTGCCGGGACCGGCTTGTTGTCCTCGTTGGATCCGACCTCTCTTTGAACGTGACTTAGGCTAAAGAAAAGAAAGGAGACACGTTATTATAGTACACGATGTACCAATGTACCAATACATGTACACGTAATTAAAACAGTTGTTCCCCCTGATGACGAAAATCTCTAACAGCATCATTGTGGGCGTGTTTGAGCTGCGTTCTGACCGTCATTTCTGCATTAATTTTTTTTTCGGATCACTTCTCGCGTGGAAACGTACCCTCTCACGTCTAGGCTTAGATCTACATAAAGCAAAGCCGGGATCTTATATTTTCTGATTAGGGAAGCAAATAAAATTGAAAAAAAAATGAAGGGCTCGATCTAGACCTACTCATCCAGAGTTCATCCAGTTTCACACTGCCCGCATCGCTTTCCCACTCACCCCCCCCCCCTCCCATTCCTGCCGTAGGCTAACCCTCGCCCATCCTCTTGACTTTGGGGCCCATATTAGGAGGCATAGTAGATCTAGCAATACAGTGTGCCTTGTGTTTTGCGTGAGATGGAGAGAAAGGAGAAAAATTCTTCGTTTTTGGGGCCGCTAATTGCTTTTAATTTTATATGGTTATCGCGACCTCGTTGAAAGCGACTTTGGTCTGTTTGCAACCTCGTTGGAGCTGACGTACATTTTTACAAAGAGATATAGAGGAAAAATCGGGGATCAAGGACTGCTGGGTCGGAGCTTCTCGTTGAATGTGACCTCGTTGAATGCGACACCCACTGCATAACTACAACGGTTTGAATATTGAAGCCAAGCTCATTATTCTATTCTTTATTCTACCTCTAGTTATAATATGCATTCACGAGTACGAGAGGCATCAAGTAGAAGAAAGTCCATGTGTACAAACAAAATTAATAAAATACACATTTTTAAAAAATAGATTCAGTCAGACATGTACAGGCGGCACATGTTTTTTTCACTGCAGATTATGAGATCAATACACAGACAAAGACCTTACATTATATTGATTCTCGATATGTACATACCACATTCCATGTAGATCTAGATTCTACTGCTGCAATGAAAAATGGATGTGAAGAGTTGTTTTTTTTAAAGAATAATAATGTGAAAAAAACCCAATGCTTTATATTTTACGAGTTTGGTTATTTTGGCTATTATGTGTGGCCTAAATAAGGTTTGGCGGGGTTCGCGTTATTTAAGTTATATATTACTGGCCTGTCATACATGTGGCATTTTCTCTCTATATAAAAAAAGACTTCCCATCAGCTACCTAACTTTTCTCCCAGTTTATCAGTGACATTCCCTGGATCTATTGACACCAAATATGATTGGATTTCCATTCTCTTTCTCCCTGAATACACCAACAAAGAGAACAGTACCTCAGGAAGACGAACTTTTAGTTTTAGGAAAGGCTCATAGATCTATAGATTATTAGATCTAATAGATCTAGTCTTATCAGATTTTACCTGTTACATTCCTAACGGGAAAGTTTTACTCTGACTGCGTTGAACTGACCAAACTGACATTATTATAATGCATGTCATGTATGAAGATGGGACTGGCCATAATGTGTACAATAATGACTGTGTTTCACCGGGTCAGCCTGTGAACTGACGCAGAGAGAAAACGACAGGAATCATGAATTTTAATAACACCCCCCCCCCACCCACTAGTCTCTCTCTCTCTCTCTCTCTCTCTCTCTCTCTCTCTCTCTCTCTCTCTCTCTCTCTCTCCCTCTCTCTCTCTCTCTCTCTCTCTCTCTCTCTCTCTCTCTCTCTCTCTCTCTCTCTCTCTCTCTCTCTCTCCCTCTCTCTTTCTCGTTCTCGTTATCTCTCGCTTTCTTTCTCCCCCCCCTTTCTCTGTCTCTCGTTCTCTCTCTGCCCGCAAACAAAATTTCTCGCTTTCAACTCAGCGCTGGAAAGTTTGTTTACACTCGTATCACGGGCTGTCACGCGCTAAGACAAGGTCGATCTAGCGCCCAAGTCTCGTTCGGACACGAGATAGGGAAATTGAAACATCTTGGTACATGTAGGCCCAGTAGTTAGACAATCTTTAATAACATCACGACGCTGCATTTCTATTGTTAGTAACTTTGTCACCGGCTCCGATGAATGAAAATAATTAAATAATAATGGGTGATAGATCAAGGCAATCTAGTCAACCCGGGAAGGAAACCTCGGGAGTCGACAACAATAGACTGTCCCCGTAGATTTATGCAAATTTAGATGGCCAAATTATGCCCCCAAAAATGCGAAAGTATGCAAAAATTATGCGTTACCGTAACTCCATTCGTGACATGTTTTGCCCTTTTTCAACACGAATTTTCAAGATTTTCATGTGTTATGTACTGAAAAATTGAAAACAGAAATATCAATATTAGTAATTTGTTGTGTATTTGGAAAGAAAACAATATATATCAGTCACAAAAAACAACCAAAAATTAATTATTATAATCTCTGTAACTTTCAGCTGTAGATCTAGATCTAGATCTATAGTGGAAAGAAAAAAGAAAAAAAAAAAAGAAAAAGGATATCTGGACCTCTGATACTGGCACATTACTAAAACCAGGGACACCTGTCAAACATGAAATATCAGCAGACATGAGAACGACAACTTTTCATGGATTGAAAAATTGAACATGCTCAAGGAACAAAATCCCAACATCCTCTAACAAGGGAAATAACCAACTTGTCACTTAAATGAGACTTATTACGGTGACTACTTCCCTTTAGTCATTGGCGAGGCGGTAATTAATTGTTTTAGGAAAAAAACCGTGAAAAAACCCTGGGAATCCAAAATTATGCAAATGTTGCAGAATTACGCGAAAAAACGCGACCGAGGCCGCACAATCGCATAATCCAACGGGGACAGAATAGATGACGGAAAAACATCATCTATGATCTATTTTGGGAAACTCACAGAGGTATGCTAGGTGCTCTCAATAGCTCCATGTCGCTCGGAAGGCTGCGAGGCCGTGTTTACGCTACCTAATACGTGGTGCCCATTATGGATAGGATCGGCCGATCGCCCGACATCGGCCCGATCCAGCCGTCGTGGGCACTCCGTATAAGACTGAGACAAGATCTAGATCTAAGTGACCGGCTCCGGGTGGGCAGAAAATGCTAGCCACCCGAGGTCGCAGAAATCCCCACGGGCCAGTAGTGTTGGGCTACTCGGCCGAGTAGCCTGATGCGAGCCACCCGAGATCGGGCGAGTAGCACAAGGTCTATTACAAACCCATCAGTCTTACAAACTGTGCATGCAGTTTGAGAACAAGGGAAATAGTATCTTGGAATAGGTAATCTTTTGCAAGCGTTTCCTCACCTGGAGACAACGCATTTAGAATGCGGAGAAGCCAGGAAAAGCTTAGGAAACTTGCAGGGACCCAGTGGGGTGCAACTATGAATCCCTCCCCACTTAGGCAGGTCTATCTGCGCGCTGTCAGGACTCATCTGCATCTATCACCTAGTGCGCATGTACAGTATCTAGAGTACGGGGTCGGTGCAAGGATGGCTACAGCACAGACTCACAAACACCTTGTTGTAGAACATGCAAAACCAGGCTCTCCAAATAGTCATTGGAGCAATGAGGTCAAAGCTTGTAGAAAAGATGGAACAACCGACAGCTTCTATAGACTGCCCCTGAGAAGGAGTCTCAGATGTAAGTGCAAGGCCTTGAATTTGATACAGTACACCAAGGCCAGATGTAATGGAAGATCATTTAAAAATCTCGTGCGCGCAAATACGGTCAGAATAAACACCACATGAAGGAAAGCATGAGAATATAGAGAGTCTTACTACTCTCACAACAAGACCATCTACCAGTCTCGGTGAACACTCTAAACCCTACCCAAAAGGTAAACTCGCACAAAAAAGTCAAGGAACAAAAATTCAAAGTAAGATAACTGAAGAACAGTTTGACCGAATTTATTCATTTTTTCAAAAAAAGATGCTTTCGACTCTTTAGATTAAGTGTGCACAATTTCAGATTTCAACAAAAACGAGAAGTTCATATAAAATGAGTTTAAGTCACACTGGTCGGATTTCAAAAGTCTGAACAGCCATAGTTCTTCATGAACATTGTCAATAGTGGGTGTAGCCACTCCGTTTGTTCATACACCCTGCACAGCGTCGACGCATGGACAGGACATGCCTTCGGAGAACTTGTTGCTGTAGGTTCTGCCACTCCTGGACGATGCAGCCCAAGAGCTGTTTAATTAAGGCTTTGTGCTGGAGGGTGGTTGTCCTTTATCCACTGGTCAATGTTATTCCAAATGTTTTCTATTGGGTTAAAATCCGGTCTACAAGCTGGTCAGTCTATGCAGGTGACAGTTCGCTGCTGCAGGAAGTCCCCCACGATGCGTGCGCGATGTGGCGCGGCGTTGTCGTCCTGCAGTACAGCCTGGGGTCTAATCTGCTGCAGTAGAGGAACAGCAGGGGGACTCTGGATTTCCTCCCTGTACCTTGCGGCGGTCAAATTGCCCTGTATATGGTACAGTGGGTCTTGTGGTGAGCTGAGAAGCCCCCCCCCCCCACACCAGAACGGACCCTCCACCGTAGGGCGCCATCTGCTTGATGCACTCAGGGTGGAACAGCTCTCCTCGGCGCACCCAGACGTGGGCTCTCCTGTCTGGGTGCAGCAGGTTGAATCTGGATTCGTCCGAGAAGATTACCTACCTGGTCCCACTGACATTGTGTCCACTGTGAATGGCGAGCAGACCACACCCGGCCAGCCGCTATGTGGGGCGGCGTATGCCTTGGGCACCTGGCAGGGACACGAGAAGCGAACTTGGCTCTACGGATACAGTTCCTTACCGTCTCCTCGCTCTCGTGGACATTGGCTGTCACCCTTAGTTGGTCCCTGATGCCGTTTGCAGTAGTGGTTCGAGACTTCATTGCCTGTCTGACGATGAACCGGTCGATGCTGTCGTTGGTCAAACGGGGCGGCCCTGGTAAAGGCTTGTCCTGTACCCTTCCGGTCGCTCGCCATCGTTCTTGCAGCCTTTATATGACTGATGGGGACACCCAAGTGGATGTGCAACGACTGGGAACGTGGAGCCCCCTTGGAGCCAGGCAAGGGCTCGTTCTCTGTCGACGTCAGGCAGTGAGCGGCGAGTTGTAATGAAATATGGCAGGAAAACACTGGCTTATAAAGGGTTGTAAGTGAGCAATATTCACAGCTAAGAAATCTGTTTAGCACATGCCAAGCTTAGTTTTAGCTGACAGTTCCAATGCCAATGTTGCTTAAGTAGAGAAATTTAGACCATTTTTCATACTTTTCGGCTGAGTTTCAGAATGCCCTGCGCCGTCACTATGAAGCTGATGTGGGTAAATTTACTGTGCAGGCAAACTGTGTCTAGTCGTCAGTGCGTGTGCCAAGTTTGGTTGACTGATCTTAAACGGGTTTGTGAGATATTGAAGTTTAAATATGACATGTGAAAACACAAGTAGTTCCTTGACTTTTTGGGCGAGTTTACCATCGTGGGAAATGAAAAACACGAACATAACCACATAGGCCTACATGTACATGTATTTACTTCTATCCCTAAGTTCACCGCAGAAGATTACAACAGCGGCCTAAGCAAGAAAGCCCTATTGTTGATGCTTGAAAGTTGAAGAAAGATCGATCTACCCCAGCGAAGCATGGAGAAGGATTAATACAGGCGGGTATACGACAGTAGCAACAACAACAATAACAACAGGAAAAAAACAACGACAGCTGCTCTAAAACTTACAACAAGAATTATATAGGATGGACAATATTATCAATATCATGCAGAACTCACTGACAAAGCCTGTGTGCAGAGAGCGGCCATACCACAACGATGTACCTCTCCAAAGTGATGAGGACAACAGTGTAGGACGCGCACGTGCGCGCAATACGGGGTGTTGGGTACAGCACACTGGGGGAAGCACAATAAGAGACGTCTTCATTATTCTGACATCGTAGTTTTCTGCATGGACATTTTCAAAACTCTGCACAGGATTTTATCCCAGAAATGACCAAATTCTGCAAAAAATTCTGCAAAAATTCAGCAAGGATTGCGAACCTGTCCAAACTTCTTTTTCCATACATTGCTTAAAAATATAAGTACCATTGAGTACCAATTAATCATAAACTGAGAAGTAGCATGACAAACTCAGTAAATACAACCCCCCCCCCCCTTTCACGTATTTAACAGCATACAATCTGTATTTTTGTTTAGAAACACAAGCCCATATATGAAATACCGTAGTAGCGAAAAGTGTAATCCAAAAAAATGAGACACCATTGTATACCAGCAATTTCCAAATCAGGTGAACTGGCAGTTTCAGCTTTATGTCATTGGTTGTCAGGAGGCGTCGAAGACAAAAAAGACAAAATGTTATTTGAGGAAAAAGGTCCTATAGGAAGATAAGCAGAATATTTAGGACTATTATTAGAAGACAAATGACCACCCCTACCACAACCAAGCAACAACAATGGTCCCAGCATTCTAAAGTCAGAGATAGAGCTCGCAATTAGAATTAGAAAACCCCCAGAAGATGGCATAAACACAGAAATGCCCATCCACCGTCGATTTACGGGTGTGGTCAAGAACAACATCATGTATGAACAGTTATAACAGTTTTCCGCCAGACACATGTTGCTTTTGGTAAACTGGAGGTGACGTTCAGCGGCATTTGTTTTCAACGCATTCTTTTCTTTCAAAAATGTATCCATATTTGCTGAAAGCCAAATCCCATCTCGCCTGTACTCCTATGCAATAGCGCATGCACAATAGAATCTAGATAGGGCAGTGCTACTGATTGAAGTGTTTTTAGGCCATTCCCATTCCCAAGGGGCGGGGGCGGTATTGAGATGTTCTTATGCATAGTAGAATTATAAATCGGCTGATTTATCAATGTCATGCTCATACTATGCCGGAATAACATAGGGAATAGGGGGAACTGCCGCTTTTTCTTTCCTCATCCTTACTTACTACTGTCTTCATGTTTTCCTCTACTTCTTTTGTGTGTCTGTCACACTCTTGTGAACTGTTATTTCCGGGTATGCTTTGATAGTAAAAGCAAACTTTGAACTGTTGAGGCTAGAGAGGTGAGCAGAGTAAGACTGATCCCCCGTTTAGATCTCTCTGTTGACATCCACACCTTGGCGCTCGTATTAATTACCGATGCAGTTGCCAGTTGCGAGCGCCGTAAAACCGTGCCAAAACAAGCAAGAATCTAGATCTAGATCTCTTGATCTATTTTGTTTCCAAAAAATAAGAACGCTCTAATTTCCGGCTTCCGGTGAGAGGAGGACCACTCTAACGCGGTTGATCCATTTATTTTCCGTGGCCGAGCCGCGGTTGCATCGCCCTTGGAAAACTACAACTACGATGTCAGATTATTCTCTTACATTCAAAAAGGACAAAGTTAAGGCAGCAGAGTAAAAAAAGTAGTCTTGACAGAGACATATCCATACAGAGACGTCTGAGAAGACTGGTGCACATGGTTTAGGCTACCGGTATGAAGACAGTAGAACAAAATATCTTAATAATAATCTTTGATCAGAAGGACAACATCATCAGAAAAGACGTGTAAGCAGAGAAGAAAAATAAAGACAGCAGATTACATCATGTAGATCTCATCATCATCCGGTGCCTTGCCGACTGGCGTGGGCGATCATGGACTTCCACTTTCCTCTTGTTTTGCGTTGCAGCGATTGTTCTTGTTGTTCCCAGCCAGGTTGTCAACTTGTCCAGTATCTTTTCCTCCTGTTAGCCTTTGCCTCTCTTTCCATCAAACTTGCCTGTTGTTACAATATTCTCCAATTCTTCTTTCGCATCGTGTGTCCAATGAAATTTGCCTGTCGCTTTTGTGTATATATATA